TATATACACATATGTGTGTGTGTATATATATATATATATATATATATATATGGTAGTTCTCAATGCAGAAGATTCCCCAAATTGTCTTCTTTGTTTTGTGTCTGGCCAATATGATTAGAATCAATGGCTTTTAAAAACGGGAACCAGGAAAGTAATGGCAAGATATAGATACAGTAGCTGCAAGATGGAAATAAACTGGTAAAAAATTGGGGGGAAAGGGGTTGGAAATGGAGAGAAAGAATCTAACAAAAAAATTGAAATGCCTTCATTATCACAAGAAGCTCCAACTAGCCTTCATTTGGTCCTACTGGAATTACAATTTTAGCCTGTATTGTCTGTAAAAGAGGAAGTAGGAAATATGACCATAGAAAGTGATATTTTAAGCCTCAACACATGTTGCTCATCACTGACTTGACTTGCAGCATGTCTTTCAACAAAGGCACACAGTGATTTAATCTCAACAGTAATTTAGTCTGCAGCCGTTTGAGACAAGACTATCATTGCAGACAGGCTGTAATTTGTGAAATTCAGGTGCTTGGGATTAGGACCACCTGTTGAATTTAATCTTGGCGTTATAATGTTAATGCCATCATAAACAGAAACACTACCTATTTAGCAGACTTTGGGACCTCTGGCCATGGAGATGTGAACAATTTCCTAAATGGTATCTGTAACTCCCTCCAGACTCTGTAAATCAACGGCAAGTAAAAAGTCTGTTGGAATTCTGATTCAATCTGCAGCAGCATATGGCTTGGTGGTCATCACATTCAGCACATCCTATAATTTTTCTAAGGCCTGATGTGAGAGTGAAAACCAAAAACCAAAAAAGCAATCAGAGTAGCATCTGGTAATGTAACAAGAATAAAAAAGCTTTCATTTCTTACCCTCCCCAGTGGTAATGGAAAAAAAATTCCTAGCAATATTCTAACAAATCTCTGCCTAAGAAAGATTATAGAAAGATCCCAAGTAAACCTGATTAAGCAGCGCCTTTGGAAGCGGACATAAACATTTTACACATGCACATTCAGACAGCCATCAGAAGTGGAGCTCTGCCTAATCTCTCGCTGGCTAAATAGCAACAGTAAAGAGGGTCAATGACTGCATTTTGAGCAGAAGTTTATATATAGCTCAGTCGGACAATTGTGATGATGCCTAGAAAGAGGGCATAGATTTTAAGATTTTCATTTGTTCCTATGCTTGGGGTGGGGAAAACCCCATTGAACCCTTTGGGTATACAATTTTGTGAGATGTTGGTTTTCTAGGAAATAATTTTATTACTATTAATTATGTGCAAAGGTTTTAGTGGTCACGTTTATAATTCTCTGCTAAGAATTCCAAGGACATGCACACATATTCATCATGCCCATAACGCCTCACAATTTATAAAACCTATTTACTACAGATTATCTCACTTTTTCATATAGTGTCAACATTCCTTCCAAAAAAGAGCTGTTCTTCATTTTAATGAAATAAGGTTCTGATACATTGAAAATGGAATACAACGTATTTGTGTGAATAAACACTGTTTTGAAAACATGAGGGCATCATATTTTGCCTCAGGCTATCAATATTCTCAGCTGAAGTCTGTCCACTGGAAGAGCACAGGGAGGAAAGGATTAAGAATATCTTCCCAAGGCCCATCAAAGCTTTCAGCAAATGTACCTTTTGACACCCCTATTAATCAAAACTCCACCAGTTTTTTAATAGGCACTTCCACTAAACAACAGCTATGAAAATCCCCTAAGTTCAATATGTTCATCATATACCAGTTACACATAAACACTACATCCTTCCAGAGTCGGAGGCCGATCTCTGAACTTTCCTAGAACTCCAGCCCTTATCAGTTGCTCTCACATGCAGATACAAAGTATGTCATCAATCAACAACTTAGAATTCTAATTGAAGCTGCAATTGTAAAACTGATGACCCTGTTTACTTTTGTTTTTGAGTCTACCACCAGACCCTCCCCAAAATCACTTCCTAATGAAATTTCTCCTCCTTTTCTGCTTCTCCCAGTTCTTCCCAGTGCAAGTTCCATGTTTCCAAAGAAACCTTCATTGATACTTCAAGGGGCAGTGATCTGTCTTATCTCTCTACCCAATAGTACTAACAGTTTATATCTTTCATTTCTTATACATTTATATCTATCATCTATCATCATCTATTTATCATCTATCTATCTATATCTATCTATCATCTATCTATCTATCATCTATCTATCTATCTATCTATCTATCTATCTATCTATCTATCTATCTATCATCTATCATCTATCTATCTATCATCTATCTATCATCTATCTATCATCTATCTATCTATCATCTATCATCTATCTATCTATATCATCTATCTAGCCATTTACACTTCATTGTTTTTCCCTGGACAGGCAACAATCCCTAAAGGCTGGGTCCTGCCTTAAATTCTTTTGTACCTTCCAAAAATCCTTAGCATTATTCATTGCACAAACGAGTGTAAATCTTTTGATTGCTACTTTTACGAAGTTTGACTTTTTTTATGCAGGGTAAGAACAATCTTTTCACACAAAAGGAGCACCTGCTAAATATTACTTTAGTTCACAACCATAAAACCTAGTAATATAAAAAGCAGAATAGTTGGGTGGTTTCAAGAAATCCTCTAGCTTTATAGAGCAGACACAGAATGGAACTGTGTTTTAATCAAAATATATTAGCAGCTTCAAATAAATGGGGAATACATTTAACCTATATTAAATTGTCTTTTCAGAATCAGGAAACTTGATTAGGATTCTCCCAAAGGCTTCACACGCTGAAACCAGAGATTCATTATTCCAGGGAAAAGTGGCTCAATTTAAAAAATTTATCTTATTAATAATTATTAGCCAAACCATGCAGCAGCTTCCAGGAAGGCAGAGGAAAACAGGCCCTCAACCATGAGTTTCAAGCCAAAGGAAGCTGAGTTGGTGCCTCCAGCCTTCCGCGCCTGCCTGGGCACCTCTGCCCAGGGCTGTGGCAATTCTGCCCCGGGCAATCCGAGGCAGAGACCAGAGGGGCATCTTCCAGCCCGAGCAGCAGCCGCAGACTGGCCGCTACTCGCCCTCGGGTGCGCGGTAGGAGGTTCGCTGGGGCCGGTACTCGCGCCATCCCGCGTCTCCTCCCGCAAGGGCGAGACTCGGCGGCCAAACCCAGGGCTCCAGGAACCCAGCACCCACCGGCAGCTGCAATTCTGGAGATCAAAGGGCTCTAGTTCCAGGGCTTATTCTTGTTAGGAAATTAGGCTTTGGGGTCCACTCCTCCCATGCCCGTCCCCTGAAAAACTTTGCGTCTTTTTCTAAATAGGAATTCATATCAAGTAGGAACTATCGCATCCCACCCCGGCGAGTCGACTCCCCCTCCCGGCCTCCTAAGGGCACCGACTCGCGGCACCTCCCAGCCCGCGGAGACAGGGCAGGTTTAGGTGTGCGGGAGTCCCCGGCTGGGGGGCGTGCGGGTGGGCGAGCGAGCTGTCACCTTGTGGTCCGCCACGCCGAGGTATCCGTCCAGCGGTCGCGGTCCTGCGGGGGCCCCGGGGCGCGACGGGGGGCTGCTCTCCGCCGACGGCTGCGCGCTGCCGGTCGCTGCCTGCTGCTGCTGCTGCTGCTGCTGCTGCGAGGGCCGGTCCTTCTGGCCGCCGAGGCTGCTGTACACGAGCAACAAGCTGGTGCACATGGTGGTGAGCGCTAAACACACTGCCAGACCATGGCGCTGCGGGGGGCAGGAGAGAGCGGAGCGCGGCTGAGAGCCCACCCGCTGGGAGCGCGCCCGCGGAAAACACCCNCACCGGCGCGCCCGCTGGAATCTCTCGCCCTCGCACCCTCGGCTTTCTGGACCCGTGGGGCTTTACCTGGGCCATCCTTGCAAGTTTGAAATCATACAAGGAAACCAAGAAAGTCTGCAAAGGTCCCCCTTCCTCGCGCCTCTTAGTTTTCGCCAGGCGGCTGCTTTGGGGCATCCCCCGTCCCCGGAGCGACGCGCCCACCCCTCCGGCTCTCCTCTGGCCCCTCAGACTTCCTGCTGAGAGCCAGCAGCCCAGGCGGCCGAGTTCCATCCCGGCTCTGGGATACCTGCCCAGGCAGCACCCGGGAACCGCGAGGGGCTGCGGGGCAGGTGGAAAGTTCTCCCTTTGTAGCGGGCGACCTCGCGGCGCTGGGTGAGGCGCCCGCGGAGCTCTCCCGCGCACCCCGGGGGCGCTGCTACCGGGGATCCCCGCCTCTGCTCCGAGGAGTTGTACCAAATGACTCACCATCAGGGTCTTCATTTTGGGCACCTCTTTTGTGCAGAATCCTCAGGCACACGCGTCCGGGGCCACTTTTTCTTGGAGGGTTTCCATGATGGGTGATGGGGCGCGGGCGGCTCGGATGTCAGCCCGGGGGCGGCGGCGGCCGAGCGGGCAG